AGTGGGGCCAGAGAGCCGAGGCCCTGGATGAGCCCTGATCAATAGCAACAATGCCTGTCCTTAGCATACATTTGAGACTTGTTCTGCAGGGGTGTGGGATAAACCAACACTGAGAAACAGACAGGACTCTGATTAGCCGTAGACTTGGTCAGACGACTCTCTGAGATAGAGACATGAAAGTGTCTGCTCCAGGGTAGACACCAGGAGGTCGGCTCCGGGGATCTAGACCATCTCTTTTAAATAAAGTATTTTATTTTTAGTTATGTGTCTTGTCTGTGTGTGGCAATGTGCTAGTGAGTACGGGTGCCTGTGGAGGCCAAAAGAGGGAGCCACAGCTCCTGAAGCTGCAGTTTATAGACCGTTGCAATTGATCAGGTGTGGGTGCTGGGAACTGAGCCAGGGTCCTCTGCAAGAGCAGTGTGTGCTCTTAACCACAGAGCCATGGCTCTGGCGCTCAGATACCGACCTTTATGAAAAGGAAATGTAGTCTTCTGGCTGACGAGATGGCCTGTGCCGAGGTCAGTATCCCTCAGCCTCCTCGTTCCACAGGAGCCCACGTGGGAAAGGACACCGAACTCCAGGCAGACACAGAGATGCCTCATCATCCCGGAGGTGGATTCCTGGAGGCTTCCGAGGGAGGGCAGGGCATGTTTCACTGCAGTAACTCTTGGAAGCAGCCTGCATTTACATAAAATTCACACTGATGCTTGAGATAGATGACCGTGGGGATAGAGACTCCCACAGTCTCTACCCTTTCCTCCCACAGTTCCCAGGGTGGCAGGATGAGGGCTGTGCTGCTAGTGTGTGGACGCGAGCCTCTGCTGAACACGGGGCTGCTCGCCTGGTGCTTTCTGGACTCCCTACTTCTCATGCCATGATTCAGAGGAAGAAAGTCTACAGGTTTCTGTAGCTTGTCAGGCTGTTCCCCATCTTCAGACTTCTGCTGTGGAGAAGTTTTCCTTGCCTGTAATGTGATTTTTCCACCTTCCTTTTCTTCAGATATGTGGTAAACTATTTGTTCTGCGAAGCCTCCTGCAGATTTGGTCCTCTAGTGGGTCATGTGACATGTAATATTGTGCATTTGAGGCTTCCGTTCTGCCACAACTCAATGCTTACAGTCTCTCCGTCCCTGTCCCTCTTTCCTTCCTTCCTTCTATACCGTGTGTGTGTGTGTGTGTGTGTGTGTGTGTGTGTGGTGTGAGAGTGTGTGGTGTGACTGTGAGTGTGTGGTGTGAGTGTGTGTGTGGTGTGAGTATGAGTCTGTGGTGTGGTTGTGTGTGTGTGGTGTGAGTGTGTGTGTGGTGTGAGTATGAGTCTGGTGTGATTGTGTGTGTGTGGTGTGAGTGTGTGGTATGAGTGTGTATGTGTGTGTGAGTGTGAGTCTGTGGTGTGACTGTGTGTGTGTGGTGTGACTGTGTGTGTGTGGTGTGACTGTGTGTGTATGTGTGTGGGGGTGGTGAGTATGTGGTATGAGTGTGTGTGTGTAAGAGAGTGTGGGGGTGTGTGTGTGGTGTGAGTGAGTGTGTGGGTGGGTGGTGTGAGTGTGTGTGTGTGTGGTTTGAGTGTGTGTGAGTATGTGTGGTGTGAGTGAGTGTGGTGTGTGAGTCTGTGTGGTGAGTGTGTGTGTGACTCTGTGTGTGTGTGTGTCGGTGTTGGACATACTGTGTCACTAGGTATCCCAGGCTAACCTTGAAAACTGTGTAACCCAGGTTGGACTCAAACTTGTAATCCCCCTGCCTCAGCCTCCTAGTGCAGATCACAGTGTGCTGATCTGGGCGAGTAGAGAGAATGAATGTGTGGTTGTTGAGTTCCAGAGAAGCATCATCCACCACGATTTCACTCTCACAGAGCACACTCGGGAGGAAGGGCATACACATGCATGCGTTACAGGTGTTCACACACCTGCAGGTACACATTAAACATGGCTACCCATCAGACCATCACTCCGTCACTGCGAACATAACAGTACAGAATACCCCAGGCCTAGCCAGAGGGCCCTACAGCACACAGAAGCAAGGCTGTCCTGGGCCACGGTCTGGGCTACGGGGCCTCCTCCAAGTGACTGGCTCAGTAGGTCTACAGTGTCCGAAAACACCGCTCACAAGGCCCCACTGGTGCGCAGCAGGGACCTGACTGAGAACACAGGCTGAGCGGGTAAATTCAGCACAGAGTAGTTGACAAGAGTCTGGCGTTGGCAGGGGCTCTGTGCAGAATCCGCTCTCTTTCTCCCTGATGACCCCAGCAGCATCTGTATGGCCGCCAAAGCCCCAGGCTGATGGAGGAGTCCGGCAGTCATGGAGGACACTAATGCCTTGGCCATGCCCTCATCTGTGAGCTGAGGGCGGGGCCCACTTCTGTCTTTACATACCCTTGAGGCACTGAAAGTTTGCAAGGCCCAAGAGTCCCCACTGAGGGGCAGGTCTGGGGCTCCCTGCTCAGCCTCCTGAAAGTCTTAGAGCCCTGATGTTACCCTGGCTCCACTGTAGGCTTCTACTGAGGAAGGGGCCATTCTCTCTGGCAGAGCGGGGGGCCAGAAGCTGTTGACTCCCTTTCATATGACGACAACCCCCTTTGTCCTTTCTGTCCAGAAGCTGGGAGTTTGCTGTGTGAGCAGGCGCGCTCTTCAGCTGAAGGACTTCTGATATAATTACCACCTCATTCTTTACTTTTCAGACTTTGTTATCTGTGTTACCTAACAGAAGTTTTCCAAAATGATTTCAAAACTAGGAGAATATCATGGATCAATGATTAAAAAGAGGGATGGGGGGGCGTTTCCTCCTGTTTGAGGAGGCCTCATGGCCTTTGAAGAGTGATTTGAGCCTGCTGTGGGTGGACACACACCATAGCAGTGATGGTGTTCCCGATTGGACGGAAGAGAACCCGGCTGATGGTAGAGTGTGTGTGTGTGTGTGTGTGTGTGTGTGTGTGTGTGTGTGTGTGTGTGTTCAGAACAGCTAACACTGAGTGTGGGAAACACCATTCCATAGGCTGGGGAGACAAAGCTGGTGAGTACAGGAGTACCCATCCCCCACTTCCTAGCCACTGTGATGTGAGCTGCCCTACCCCGCCACAAAGGACTAAAACCTCAGGCCCCATCAGCCAGGATCATTGCCCTTCTTCCTGAAGTTGCTCCTCTCAGGTTTTTGCTTATAGTAACAAGCTGAACCCCAGCACATGGGACACAGACATGTGCAGACTTAAAGCCCTAAGAGATATCCACTTGGTCTCATGGCTGCTTGGGCCCAGGCCCAGCTTTGAACTCTGGCTCCCCACCGCACATTTACAACTCCTTACCCCTCATTGTCCTCCTTTAAAACGGAAGCAGGGGTTAAACAGACCAGTGATGAAAATGGTGGAACAGTGTCCAGCACACAGCAGGTCTACAGTAGGCCTCTACTACTGTTACTGTTCTGTTTGGCATAGGCCAGACGATTCCAAACAAAGCAGAACCCAAAAACTGGAGTGGCAACTGCAACTGCTGTAGGATTCTTTTCTAGACTTTTCTGTGAGGAACCAAGATGAGTCCGTGTAACCCAGGCTATTTGGACTGAGGAAGGCTAAGGAAGCCACTCCTCCAGTAACCCCATGCTGGTACTTAGCTCTGATTCCTGATATAGCTGATCATTGAAGAAGCCTCGGATTCCTGGCATCGTCTACTTACTGGCCAGAGACTTGACACTTCAGTGGTCCTGAGGCTGTCCTCCTTGCTCATTGGTCCTGCTGCGGCTTGAGCATCATTGCTAGGAAATTCTCCGGAAGTCCAATTCCTAGTTTGGCCCATTTGATTTCATTATACTGTTACTTAATTTTTTTCTTTCAGTGTTCTTAGTACTAAATTCAACTGCTCGGGCTGTTTTTATGGAGAGGTCACGTGTCACAAGAAACGTTGCAGATAGATGTTCAGGCTTTTGTGCTTTGCGAGTGAGGGGCATAGCTTCCTGCTTCCTCCAGGAGATGGTGTGTACCAGAGCTTGGGGAGTCAACGGGCCTGGATTTAGCTGTGGGTCAGGGGTGGTCTGAGGGTACGGTGGCTTCCTTCAGGCCCGAAGGCAGCACTGGAAAGGATACCCATGAGATTCCCCACCTTGGTCTTCTGCCTAAACTACTGTCTGCTCCTAGAAGTTCGGGCTGCCACCAGGCAGTGGGGGGGGAGGGCACAGTGCAGCCATGCTGAATCTGTGCTCTAGCCTTGTGGGAGGGAAGCAGATGATGGAGTAGAAAAATATAAACTGTCACATGTGCTTCCTCTTTCAAATTCTGCTTGCCTGAGCTTATTCTTTCAGATTCCTTCCCAGCCTCTTCAACAGTGACAGTGAACGCTTCAGGGAATTGGTCAGCTGCTAGAGTGCTGTTCACAAAAGCAAGGGGACCTGAGTTTGGCTGCAAACACACGGGGTGCTGGGAGGAGACGGGGTTGTGTCTCTGGAGTTGTAGATCCCTGGAGCTCATTGGCCAGACTGCCTAGACACATGGATGAGCAAGGGAAGACACTTGATGCTGACCTCTGGCCTCTACTCACATGCACACGTGAACATGGGGCAGGGAGCCAGTGGCTTGTCCCTGTAGTGTGAGCAGTGGGGATGCAGGTTCAGGAACATCCTTCGTCCAAGGCCATCCAAGACTACATAGTGACACCCCATCTCAAAAGTAAAAGCATAGGGTAGAGATGGCTGGACTCTTGCTGCTCATGCAGAGGACCTGAGTTCAAATTGTAGCACCTGTCTATGTCAGATAGCTCACAACTATCTGTAGTGTGTGGGGGGAGGGGAGAGAGATATGGGGGATGGGGGAGGGGAGATCTTCAATAATCCAGTGCTTGGTACATGGGGGGTGGGGGGTGATCTTCAATAATCCAGTGCTTAAGTTTTTCCAACAGTGAGACCCACCCACCAAGCCTGACTTGTCCTTCCCAGCCTGACATTAGGAATGAACAGAGACCTCAGTGCCTGGCCATGCCTACATCACATGTAAAAACTCCCTTTGTTTCCTCTGTCTCCCAGGTACAGGAGGCTGCAGGACGGGGCTTGAAGTTTGTTGGTGTGATGCCTCAGTACCAGTCCTCTGTAAACTCTGCAGGCAGCAGCCGTTCGGTGCCCATTGCCAACAGCCTTGCAGATGCCAGGGATGCGAAACACAACTTTGGGGACCATGCATCTCTGGAAAATGATAGCCCGAAGGCTGCAGATGTGGGAGTGAACCTAAGGCCAGAGCCCAGCCCAGGCTCCACGGCGGAGGTGCCGAGTGTCCAGCAGCCTGGCATTCCTACTCCCTCAGAAGAGGCAGAGGCTGGCGAGTTTCCGCTGCAGGAGTTGAGCCCAACACTGGATGGACCAGAGGGTGACTCCTCAAATGGACATGAAGAGCTGCTCTCAAGGAGTAAGTGTTTTGACCTGCTTAAAGAGAGGCTAATAGTCTTTAGTACTCCCCGGGGCCTCTTAGGGAAAGAGAGACAGAGCTAGTATGTAGACACAACAGCCCATCGAACAAGAGAAAGTTTGTCAAGCGGCTGGCTATCCGGGCTGCACAGCTTTTTACCTGCAGCTGCTGTGGATTGTGGGAGGGACGGATCCCGGGGAAACTGACTTGCAGGGACTCCCCAGGGGGTTCTAGATGAAGTGGTCTCATTCTGTGCTCCTGTTGCCAGGCACTTCTCTGCCCTCTTGGGGCAGTGTGTGAGCCACTCTCCAATGAGCTCTGATAGTCCACTTCTGATTATCTGCCCAAAGGAAGAGTGGGAGAAAGCCTTGGAGGGCACACCGTGCACGAGCTGTGTTCTGGGTGTTCTGTTTGCTAGAACGGAAGCGTCCTGGTTGCAGGATCCTGCCAGCAGTTGGAAATGGGCACCATGGAGAAGATGCTGCACCAGGCAGAGGTGTAGCTATAACAGTGTAGCTATAAAAACCTGTGCCAGTTTTGTGAGTCAGCTGAGCTCCTACCTCCTCTGGCTGGCAGCTAGCAGACTTGGCATACGACTGCAGGTGGGGTTGACATCCATCCACGGCACCTCTCTACTTGGTCTTTCTTTCCTGTGTAATAGAATGATGAGATTTCCTGAAGTCTTCTGTAGTTTTCATTTCTCTACTTCTGCCCGGAAGTCACATCCATCAGGAGAGGCACTTAGTTAGCAATGGGGACTCTTTGGCTTTTGGAAGGTGACTGTGAGCCGCCTGACAGTAGAATGCCCGCGAAGCCTGGAGAGGGCATCTGCTTAGACCTTTGTATCTATCGTGTTGCTGCTGTGTTAGCTAGTGCTTGGAGTTGACCTCTTGCTCGGGGAGTAGGAAACAGGGAAATGGTTTCTTTGGCTACATCAGAACTTCGTGAGAAGAAAACTTACTGGACAGGAGATCTAATTGTAAGGTTGCTCCAAAGAATTATGAGATATAGCGGAGCTATCACTTATTCAAGGCCTTGATCCTTGTTTCGTGAGTTTTCATTCTCTTGCGGTAGACTTCTGCCCCATCTGATACATTCAGATCTGACGTGAGGCCCCTGAGAAGTTCCATCTTGGGTCTGGGGGCTGTTCGTGCTGAGTTCTGAGGAAGAGGAAGGATGTCTGTAGAACCATGAGGAACACATGCCAGGCCAGGCATGAATCCTGGGAGCAAGGGATAGGAACCATGGGAGGCAAACAGTACCATTGATAAGAAACCAATGTCTGTGTATCGCTTCTAGCTAGGTCCCTTGTTCTAGGAAGGGACTGTAGCTTCCTGTGAAAAGGCTCAGTGCATACCTGGTACTAAGGACTTCCCTGTGGGAGCTGTCACTCAGGACCCTGGCTCCACACCCCTGCGCCTCACAGAATCTGACTTTAAGGAGAAAGGAGGCCCTGGATCTCCAAAGTCTGTCAGCAGTGCACCCCAGAACCCATCTTTCTCCTAGACCTCAAGACTTTTGCTTTCTGAGGTTGACCCTTGACTCTGGGAGCCCTGTGGCTCCTTGCCTCCCTCTGGGCCCAGGATCTCCTATGGCTGAATGTTGGAACCTCTCCCCTAACACCCAGAGGGCCTTGGCTGGTTTCCTCAGGACCTTGCTGTCTTCCGCAAACTCAAATCCTTCAAGAAACAGTGGATTGGCGTGTCATGGAGGCCTCAGCCCAAGTGTGACAGCCACCTCCCTCTGCACATACAGCCCAGGGCCTGCCTCCAAAGCAGCACACAGACCCTGCCGTGCCCTGGCTGGCTTATTTTATTAGTTGGTAAACATGAGTTACTAGTGGAGGGCACTGGTCCAGTTTTCCCAGGTGTTATTGCAATTACCCCTCGCCACAGACTATGACAGGAGAGGCTACTGTGACGCCCACGTCACAGATAAGGCAAGTTCCCTTCCTGAAGGCTGGACACCCAGGGATCCTTTTTCCAGAGGTCATAGCCCTCATGTGACCCCAGCTTCTCCTGAGCATTCGCCTATGGAGTTTAACTGACTCCTGCCCTGCCCCGCCCTGCCCCGCCCTGCCCTGGAAGTGCCTACACAGCACCCAACCCCAGCCTCACCCGCCCATACCCCACACACACCACAGCTCCCCTCTTGCCTTTCTCTCAGCCCACCTCCCACTTCCTAAGGAGTTTGAAAATTTTCTGCCAGGTGGCCAACCACAGCAAGACAACTAAAACAAGAATTCAGAGGGTGCCCCCTCCTAGCCCCTCCTCTTCCTCGGTTTCCTATGCAGGAGGCAGCTGGGAGTGAATCCAGTTCAGAGTGGCCTTTGGGGGGCAGTATGGAGAGCAGGAGAGCTGACCGCATCCCTGCATTGTGGTCCAGGAGTTACAGGGAGAGAGGAGAGCTGACCGCATTCCTGCATTGTGGTCCAGGAGTTACAGAGAGAGCAGGTGAGCTGACCACATCCCTGCATTGTGGTCCAGGAGTTACAGGGAGAGCAGGAGAGCTGGCCGCATCCCTGCATTGTGGTCCAGGAGTTACAGGGAGAGCAGGTGAGCTGACCGCATCCCTGCATTGTGGTCCAGGAGTTACAGGGAGAGAGGAGAGCTGACCACATCCCTCATTGTGGTCCAGGAGTTACAGGGAGAGCAGGTGAGCTGACTGTATCCCTGCATTGTGGTCCAGGAGTTACAGGGAGAGCAGGAGAGTTGACCGCATCCCTGCATTGTGGTCCAGGAGTTACAGGGAGAGCAGGTGAGCTGACCACATCCCTGCATTGTGGTCCAGGAGTTATAGGGAGAGCAGGAGAGCTGACCGCATCCCTGCATTGTGGTCCAGGAGTTACAGGGAGAGAGGAGAGCTGACCACATCCCTACATTGTGGTCCAGGAGTTACAGGGAGAGCAGGAGAGCTGACCACATCCCTCATTGTGGTCCAGGAGTTATAGGGAGAGCAGCTAGGCTGACCGCATCCCTGCATTGTGGTCCAGGAGTTACAGGGAGAGCAGGAGAGCTGACCGCATCCCTGCATTGTGGTCCAGGAGTTACAGGGAGAGCAGGAGAGCTGGCCGCATCCCTGCATTGTGGTCCAGGAGTTACAGGGAGAGAGGAGAGCTGACCACATCCCTGCATTGTGGTCCAGGAGTTACAGGGAGAGCAGGAGAGCTGACCACATCCCTCATTGTGGTCCAGGAGTTATAGGGAGAGCAGCTAGGCTGACCGCATCCCTGCATTGTGGTCCAGGAGTTACAGGGAGAGCAGGAGAGCTGACCGCATCCCTGCATTGTGGTCCAGGAGTTACAGGGAGAGCAGGTGAGCTGACCACATCCCTCATTGTGGTCCAGGAGTTACAGGGAGAGCAGGAGAGCTGGCCGCATCCCTGCATTGTGGTCCAGGAGTTACAGGGAGAGCAGGAGAGCTGGCCGCATCCCTCATTGTGATCCAGGAGTTACAGGGAGAGCAGGTGAGCTGGCCGCATCCCTGCATTGTGGTCCAGGAGTTTTACCCTTTTACCGTGCTTGCTCATTGACTTGGATTTCTTGTCCCGGAACTTCCTGTTGATAGATCCCTGTGCAACATAGTCCTAGTACCCTTTGAAAACCTTTGCTCGAGAAGCAAGAACCACCTGGGTGTGCCTGCTAGAGTTAGGGTGAGGTGCCCATCATCTTTCTGGCTGAGAGGGATCTCTTTAGTGGCCTCCTAGGCATTCCTCCTGATGTCCCCAACCGTGGCACCAGCTTCCACTTTGTGTTCTAGTAAATGAACCTCTTACTAGATTTGGGCATGAGCCCAAGGTTTGAGAGGTTGGAAAGCTTCAGGGTCTGCCACTCACCGGCTGGGCTTCTGAGAAATGCACCGACCGACCCTGCCAGGCACAGAACACCCTATGGAAGCGGAGAGAGTTGGGTGGGTGTGGTGGGGGCTACACCTCGCCGTGGCACCTGCGTCTTCACACTTGTGACCTCATCACCGCTGGCGGTTCCTTTGCATGCGCTGCTCTCTGTCCTTTGCTGTCACCTTTGCCAGGTGGCCTCGCACTGGCCCAGAGGTGTCCTGAGCTAGCACCCATGCCTGTGAGAAGTATGCACAGCCTTGGTGGGATCCTCCTACCACACCACCAACAGCTCTGCCTTCATAGAAGGCTTTCATCTCAGTTCCCATGCCCATGGCCTGAGCAGCCTGCGGTTCAGCTGACTCCCCCAAGTCTGGCTTTGGATGGCCACAATTCAGATTCAGTACTCAATTCTATTTCCTCCAAACTGCAGCTCTCCTTGGAAACGGAAATCCAACTAGCCCCTTGTGACACATTCACGTGTTACAGCTCGCTGGTTCCATAGCTGCAGACAAGCAAGCTGCAGGCTCCCATCTCAACTACAGGGCTCAACACTCCAGCCCAGGTGTGGGGCTCAGAACTTCAAACCTTTCCTTTGCTGCTTCTTTACAGCGGGACAAGGACCAACAGCCTAGCTGTGCTTAGCGAGTCCAGGCCCTGGTCTCCGTGTCCTCCATTTATCCTGCTCAGGTCAGTCACAGACATGTGAGCCGCCTCCCGTGGTACAGGGAGCCTGGAGAGCATAAGAATTCTAAATGAAGTATGGTGAGGCTGCGCATCACAGAGAAGGAGGACGAAGACGGGCTCCCTGCTAGCCTAGCCCTTCAGCCATCCTCAGCAGCAAGGCCTTCCTTGGGGGCTCTCCCACATCTGGAAAAGCTGCCAGCTGGGGTCACGGTGGAGTTACAGAGCAGCTGAGAAAATTCGAACAAACTTGGGGCTCCTCTTCAGACCCCTTGCCCCCTGCTCACAGACGTGGGCTGCGCTTGGGCCACGAGGACACCAGAGCACATCATTTTGGCCCATTTCCTGTGGTTGGTTTCCGTGTGAGTGGAAGAGCCGACTAAAGGGTTGTGTGTGAGAGGTCAGGTCTCTCCCAGCATCTCGTCCCTGCGACTCTTCTGTGGCTCCTCCTCACCCAGAATCTCCCTTTCCTTCCTGAAAAATATATTTCTGTCCTGCCTCCTGGGGAGGATGGAGTCTGGGGAGGCTTGATGCTGCTGCCCTTTCCTGCCCACTGCGTCTGGCGGTCCTCCCCTGCCCACCGCGTCTGGCGGTCCTCCCCTGCCCACCGCGTCTGGCGGTCCTTCCCCACCCAGTCTTCTCACTGCTCATTGCAGCCTGGCTCCTTTCCTGTTTCTCTGTGCTTTGGGGAGAGTGGTATTTTCATCTCACCCTGTGAGTGGGGATGGGTGGTCCCTCTGCCCTGTGAGTGGGGATGGGTGGTCCCTCTGCCCTGTGAGTGGGGATGGGTGGTCCCTCTGCCCTGTGAGTGGGGATGGGTTGTCCCTCTGCCCTGTGAGTGGGGATGGGTGGTCCCTCTGCCCTGTGAGTGGGGATGGATGGTCCCTTTGCCCTGTGAGTGGGGATGGGTGGTCCCTTTGCCCTGTGAGTGGGGATGGGTGGTCCCTCTGCCCTGTGAGTGGGGATGGGTGGTCCCTCTGCCCTGTGAGTGGGTGGTCCCTCTGCCCTGTGAGTGGGGATGGATGGTCCCTTTGCCCTGTGAGTGGGGATGGGTGGTCCCTCTGCCCTGTGAGTGGGGATGGGTGGTCCCTCTGTGTGTTCAGGCACCACCATGTGTGGCCACAACCAGATTCCCACTTACCATTCCCAGTGCAACAGCTCTGAGTCCCTGCTCATATTGCAGTCGAGCTTCACCATAACCGCCTACGGGGCCTGTGCCCTGGACAGTTCTGGCCAGCAGTGTCCCAGGAGTGACTGTTAACCCCAGCACATGGGTGCCTTGATTGTTATGTCCTTCGTGGACGCGTGTGAGCTGAGGTCTGCCAGGGACCCTGGGTCCCTGACAGGCCCAGCTGCCCTGTGCTAACCCACTCTCGAATACGGTTCATCTTATTTCCTGTCTCTCTCTCTCTCTCTCTCTCTCTCTCTCTCTCTTATTTCCTCTCTCTCTCTCTCTCTCCCTTCTCTCCTTGTTCTGTAGGGTGTGTAGAATGTTCTACGATAGCCATACTTAGGGTTTTGAATGAGTAAATTTTTAAGTTTACAGCAAGCCAAAGTAAATAACAAATAGATGTCATGTAGGTAGACAGGCAGACAGACAGCAAAACACCATTAAGCCAGGTGCTTACCACCTCTAGCAGAAATCGGTGGAGGAAGATGAGGTGGACGAGGGCTCCACCTGAGCTTCCCCCTAAGACTGAGCTTCTCGTGGCTGAACTGGCCCTCATTTCTGCTGTGGGCATTTTCCTATCACGGATAAACAATAGTAATATCTGCTGGTAAGTTTCCATTCTGGCTGCTGTTCTCAAGCATAGTGATTTTACTCTTGGCTGTATCTCTGTTCTTTCCTCCCTGTCGCTAAGTTGGGAGAGCTGTCAAGTGTTCGTGGAGGATGCTCGACACACGCATGCTTCAGTGTGAAATAGGAGCAGGCATACCCCACCTCAAAAGCTAGCTTCTCAGTAAGCTCAAACAACCCATGACGATATACTACATGTGACCCTGGAGATAGGTTTCAGCAGCACCCACTGCTTGTATGGGAAAAGCTTGACCCGCCAAATGGGGCTCTTCTCTTCAGCAGCTGGGCTTTTATTCATCTTCAGGTACATAGGACCAGAAGGAAGCCCCTGGCTTGTTTCCTCGCACACGTCCTATGGTCTTGTGTGACCCATTCTTCCATCATCATGGCATAAGCTAGTGAATGGACGTGCATGCACCAGGACCTAACTTCTTATTTGAAATCATTTCGGGGTAGACAGGGCATCTATGGTCAGACATGCGGATTGTAAACGTAATTGGGTCAGGGCTGTTGGCTGGGCTTGCGTTTGCTGCACAAATTCCAAGTGGCAGTTTCCACAGATAGCACTGGTTCTGTTGGATGGGCTAACTTGATGAAACTCCGGTCAGTTTAGCTGTTGATGACGATGGATCTCATTGCTCAGGGATCATACAGGTGCTCGGCCTGATGGGGCTGGAGGATTTCGTCTGTTCTAAAATGCAACTCCTACACAAGAAACTTTTCAGGTGTTACAGGGATGAACACATTTGCTGCTGTTACCTCCTGGCCCTGCCTGGCAGTTTAACAAACTGGAATGGTTTGCTTAGGCGATCAAGAAGCAAACTCTCATTTTAAATCCTTTTATTAAATAAAGCAAAGTGAGCCAGTTTTAAAAAAAGAGAGAGCCATCCAATGTATGTGGGGTTGGATCCCTGGATAAGAGTGCTTGCTGTGCAAACATGGCAACTTGAGTTTGGGTTCACAGAATCCAAGTAAAAAGCCAGGTATGGCTTTTACACATACCATTGCAGGGTAGAGTAGGCAGAGCCTAGGAGTTCACTGCCGGAATGGCAAGCTTAGTGAGTGGCAGCATCTCAGGGCAATTGGCAAAAAGCAACAAAGGAATCACCCAATGTTGTGTGTGCACATGTGTGTGCATACAAGTGTACATATGCATGCTCGCATGCACACACACACACACACACACACACACACACACACACACACACACTGGCTAGTACTGAGATACCACCCAAGTGTGGACACCCTGAACTTTGAGTGCCTCCATCCCAGAGCGCCCCATGCCCAGAGCACATGTAAAATTTGCCCTTCTCCCTAATGCCAACCATTCTTTATGGTAGGGTTTTCATATCACCTCAAACAACGTCTTTGGCAGCCAGTGCTTATTCCTAGCCAGCCCATGGAAGCAAAGCTTTCTAGGCTGGGTCAGCTCTGATAGCTGGACTAAATGAATGGTGCAAAAATAGACTCTGCAGAGTAGATTGAAGTTCCAGGTATTTGCTCCTCGAGGTGGTTTCCTGCTAACCGCAGCTGGCAGCAGGAACAGCAGGTGCAAATCACTGTTGGGGGAGGGGTGGGATTATTGACTCCTGGGCTATAAATGAAAGAACCCAGCGCTCCTAGCTTCACACCCAGGGCCTGCCTGGCTGATTGAGCTGGCCTGCTACTCCAGGCAGGAACCCCCATTTACAGGAACATATTTATTTTTACATATCAATGTACTTGATTGAGTATTATGGGTTTGGCCCCAGGAAACTCTCCTGCAGTTTATAAATAGCAAGTTCAGGGGTATGAAAAGGTTCCTGGAATTAGAGAAGTGTTTTTCTTTTTACGAATCTCCTTTGCTTGCTTGTTTGTTGTTTTTAAGACTATTACATTTACTTTGCAAGTGCTTATGTACGCATTTCTAGAAATACACTTCTTCCAGTTGCTTAACAATGCAAATTAATTCCAAGTAGCAGTCATTCTATCCCCATTCAAGGATGTAGAGAATTTGCCTCACATGCATGAAGTGAGTTCAGTCTCCAGAACCCCTTAAACTGAGTGTGGTAAAATACTCCTGTAGTTGAAGTACCCAGTCAGTAGAGGCAGGAGGATCCTAAATTCAGTTTGAGTCCCGTCTGGGGTGCATGAAACAAAACACCTGGGAGCCTCCATCCAAAATGCAATGCTTGAGGTCCTCCCTTGAAGCAATTTCCATTGCTGCTAGAAAAGGAGTTTTATTGTCTGGCAATAGTGTGGCCTCAGGGATTCACAGCTGATACCATTTCTCAGGCTCCAGGGAGATTCCACTGAACCCACTTTAGCAGATTTGTTCTGTGTGCTAACCTGTTCTCTCTCCATCCTTTTTACAAATTCCAACAGAAACGGAGATCTTCGCCTTCTTCAACAGACCGAAGAGCCAGCAGAAGTGTCGGCAGTACTATCCCGTCACCATCCCCCTCCAGGTCTCCAAGAACGGCCAGACAGTGAGCAGTCTGGATGCCAGCTGGCTGGAGCACATGAGTGACCATTTCCGGAAAGGTGGTGTGCTGGTGAATGCCGTCTTCCACCTTGGCATGGCCAACGGTACGGAATGCCTTACGACCCCTCTTGTTCCCGTGATCTTGGTTTTTCTTTGCATCTTCTTCCGTCTGGTCCGTCCAAATGGTTGATAAACGCACAGCATTTGATTTCTAATTAATGTAACTCTAACATCTCATAAAGGCTAGACCCTCCGGGAAGCGACCCAGTGGTTGTAGCTTCCGTATTCGTTGCTTTTGAGATGACTGCCGGGAATCATGCCACTCCAGAGATGCAAATGGTTTGTAGACGCTCTTACAGCCTGAAGTAGCCATAGCAGCACCTTGGAGCTGATATCAGGACGCAGTGGCAGCACCTGGCTCCAGTGGACTGTTGCTGGGACACAAGCCTCCTAGGTCTCCAGTGCCCAGCACTCTGCCCCAGGTGTGGGCTCATCTCTGGGGTTTGAGGCATGAATTATCACTAGCCGTGCCAGCTTTTGAGGCAGAGGGAAAGTCTGTCAGGGTGGGGACAGGCTTTGAGCTGAGAAAGGGTTTGGGGTAAACATGGTGGTGAATTGAGTTTGAGGTGTGGGGCTTGTGTGCAGCTATGGACAGGTGCTGAGGGTTGTGAGTCAGCAGGACTCCTAAGGAAGTGAGACGTAACCAAAGCTTGTGGACCCCAGCAGAGCCTGATAGGGCATTGACAGCAGGTTTGGTGGTGTGCAGCTTCTCAGGTTTTAGCCAGGAATAGTTTGGATTTCTTATTATGTGTGCAGTACCAAGCAAGCGTTCTTAGAACAAAGACTGTGCTCCTCTGAGCGTGTAGGCTCTGGATGAGTCAAAGCCTGGGTCAATGATAAAGCATAGAGCAGTCTTACTTTCAGATGCAGGGTCCTTGCTTGTTTCTGTTTGACCATCAGCAGACCAGGCATGGTGAATGGGTAGATGATATACATGACCAAGTGACCTAGAAAAGCACCTCAACATGCTGTTGAGAACTTTCTGTGATGGTAGAATGTTCTGGATTGTTCTATCCCATATGGTAGCCGCCAGCTTTCTTGGGCATCTATAACCTTGAAACTGGATTTTATAGTTTATTTCACTTTCATTGGTTTAAATTTGAATGGCTATATGTCTCTAGTGGATTTGGGAGTGCAATTTTGAGGACACTTTTTGTTAACTTCCATTCTCTGGTGGCAGATCTAGTAACTCCTTGATGCCCACCTCTTTGGGTGGCTCCGTGTCCACAGAAGCCAGGAGTTGTCATGGCTGTTTGGAAGGGCACATAGCAGGAGCAGTAGGTACTTGAAGTAGGTGTCCCCTCCAGATCATCAGTCCTAGGGATGCCAGAGAGGACCTCTCAACTCTATCCTTTTTAGGGACACTGGCACTTAGGTAGGGGCTGCTCATTTCTATTGTCTGGGTGGCCAGGCAAAATTTTACATTTCTCCTGAGAAAACCTATGACTTTGTACTAACACCTGAAAGATGCACAGCTGATGACAGCTACTCAGGAGGCCACTGAGTAATTGTTTTTCTCTTCATAGCAAAATCGGGGTATCAGAAGAGATGTACGTCTTTGGCCCCATCATCTGAGCCCAAGAGAGAACACCATAAAGGCTCCCAAAGCTGATGATTGTGTCATGATGTTTGAAAGATGAAAGCTGAACAGGCCTCAGAATCCTCCCCTCCCCTCTCCCCTCTGCTCTTCCCTGGCCTCAAGTCTTGTAGGAATAGCCCCAGCCAAGTCTGTAACTAACTTAATAACCACAACTGCACAGATAGTCATGCTGTCATTCAATCCCCTGAGACGATAACCACTGTTTAACCAAGCCCAGATCACCACCACTGCTTTCTCTAGCACTCTGAGCCCCTCCCGCTGCTGTGTGCCTGTCTATCTCCCTGCGTCCCTATTCTACCCTCCAGGGGAGGTATAGCGCCTCTTCCCTTAAAGAGTAGCCTGCAGCTTCAATGCTTTGCCCACCAGGTGGAGAAGTGTTTTAACCACTGTCCTGTTAGCATGAAACACCCCAAGGAAAGCAGCTTAAGGGAGAGAGCTTAATTTGTCTTAAGGCCCAAGGTTCCATTCTACCATGGGAGGGGGCATAACAGTAGGAGCTTGAGGTAGGTGCTTGCATTGCATCCGTAGTCAACAAGCAAAGAGCAATGGATGTCTGCTCAGCTCATTTTCTCCTAGAATCAAGATAAAGCTTCCAGTGGAGTGCAGGGACCCTCTGAAAATTGACAGGACTTAACTGTTCACTTTAGCATGGACAGTCAAGTCCTACCTTAGTTTTTTTGAAGAACAATCAAATAACATTCTTTTGTAAACCTGCAAAAATTTAGACAAGCTGATTGAGCACTTGGCCTGGCATGTACATTCCAGATACTGTGTAGGCTGAACTTGGAAGTGAACTTGACACTTAATGTCTACAGAAGAGAACTGAGCATAGGATTTGCCCCTTGAAATGGTGTGGCAGATTTTTTTTCCTGTGGGGTTCCAATCACAAGCTTGGAACATTAAGGTGGCCTTCTGCCAGAAGACCAGCATCAAATATTTATGTAATACCTTGACATATAGCTTTTTGTGTATCTTTAATAATAAAAAACAATACAATGATAACAGAATGTCTTGCGTGGGTGGAGGAGTGTTTAACCTTTGAAGCCCAGGGCTCTTCCCTCTGAAATGGACCTGTTTACACCCAGGTTGGTACACACACACTTCAGGGAGGCTGACCAGTGAAGGTCTGAGATGGAGAGTGAACAAACCCATTAAGGCAACAGCTCGGCTCCTGAAAAGCCCAGCTGTCTGTCCTTCTTTGATGCCTGCCGTTACAGATGACCAAGTTCTGACAGCTCTTCTGAAACTGCTTTGTTGTAGGCAAGTAGGTTGTTCAGCCTTCTGTACTCAGGAGACAGAGCGGCGGGCATGGGGTGGGGAGACGGGCAGTAGCTGAGGAGGAAAGGGTGGGAAAGACATCAGGAGGGGCCATATTCATCCCCTCCACCTACCTGGGGGTCTCAACTCGGCCTCGATGCACTGTTGACAGGCTAAAGACCATCATATGGTTCAATTTGGAATAGGTTTGTTAGCACCAACAGCTCAGCAGGTGCGTTTAGAGGGCTGGGGGTTTTCCACTGAGAAGGTAGGTAGGAGCTTTGGAAGTAGGTTGGCTGTCACCCCTCAGTATCCAAAGGGCTTAGTTCAGGGAACTCACCAGGTGCTCAGATGTGCATGTCCTTGTATAAAGTGGCCTGCTGACCACACGTAGCCTCCTGTGCACTTTAAATCACCACAGCCTGAGTTAGAATATTTAATTCGGTGTAGATGCTGAATAAATTGTTTGCTATGCCGTATGGCTTAGAGAATAATGGCAAAGAAAAGTGTGTCCTGCCCAACTCATGTTTTCCTGTGTACTGTTGGCTGATTCCATAAAATGGACCCTGTAGAGGTAGAGGGTATGACCTTTTCAGGGGGACGAGAGGAACTGTGTACTCTGCTGTAAGATCCTTGAGGAGCCGTGTCTTCCAGTGTCGAACACCCACAGATCAGGACTGAGGAAGCCTGATCTTAAGGATCTTGGGTGGCTATCCTGTGGCATTGCCCTCCCCTGGCAGTGTTACCAAGAACTTGATGCTGAGCTGGACTTAGGGCTGTGCTTGTCCTGGGCCCCAAGGTACAAATGACGCTGGTCCTCTGAAGAGGGCTCCTCCCTGCTCATCTGCAGTGTGTGTCCTGTGGAGACCAGCAAGCTACCACTCAGGGGCAGCTCTCACAAAGCACTGGAGAGATTCAAGCTTGCCAAGGCCTTTGCATGGTAGATTCCCAGGCTGGGGAATAAATAAGAAGCCCAAGTTGGCCCATTTGGGGAACTTAAAGAACATGGAGTGTGGTCTAGGCTACCCGAGCTCCAGGACCCACTTTCCTAATCATCATTTAATTGAGTTGTTCAAGCATCGCTATCCTCTAAGATAAGGACTTACCCCTCCTGCGTAAAGTACACTGGCTTCCTGTTACTCCATCTAGGTCGAGAATTGTTAATCAGTTAGTAATGCCACGTAAAAAATGGTTCCCGAACTCGTTGGCTTAAGAGTAGCTATTTATTCTGTAGGGTTTTCTGTTGGCTGGAGCTCTGCAGTGATCCTGCCAAGCTCACTCACAGTCTGTTGATGAGCTGATCCCAGATGGCTCCCTTGGGGGCAGCTCTGTCCCATGTGTTTTCATTGTCCTGGGTCCAGTTGGCTCTGTGGGGCCTGCCCTTTCAAAGTGGTAACAGAGACATAGGAGGTCAAGTTGGACCCCACACATGGTTTCCGGCTCTGCATCTTACCTGCCGTTCTCTTGGAGAAGTCTTCTTACTGTTCTTTCACTACCAGTCACCAGAGTCCCAAGTCTCTTCTTAGGATTCTGTGGTCCATCTGCCATTGGTTGCCCAACCCGATGCATTTGCCACCTTCCTACCAGGAACTCAAAAACCCTACAAGTCCACATCACTTGCTTGCTTAGTGCATATATGTCTGCCGTAGTGTCCTTTCCTACTGAGGTATTACAATGCCTGACCAAGCATCCTAAGGTCTATTTGGCTCCCCATCCCAGGATACAGTCCATTAGGGGAATCAGGATGCTAGGAACTCAGCAGTACTCACATCACATGCATTTGTGGTACTAGCAGAGAACAGGGAATTAATGCATGTATTCTCAGGATTCTCTGCCTAGGGAATAATGCCGCCCACAGTGTGCAGCTCTTCCCATCTTAGAGTACTCAAGAAATTCCTGGTTGATGGGAACCCTAGTTTAAATAGCCTCCTCCATGACCTCTACCTTCACTGCCCCAGCCCACATATTCCTGTGTGTCAATTCTGACACTCTGCTCCTGTCTGTCTTCTCAGCCACAGAGTAAACTCTAAGGTTGGGGAGACTGCATTTTGCTGCTCAGGAGGCCCCCAGTGTGTGCCTGGCCTGCAATGGTACCCAACAGCTGTTGGAATGGAGGAGGGGTCGGGGCAGGTCCTTTGTGGTGAGCGTGGAGTTTCCACTGCCCTCCTGAGGTCATTTCTCACTTCACTCTGGAAGGTTAGCTTTATTGTGTTGTAACCCTCTTTTTCTGGAACTCTGGACCTAGTTCTGCCTTCAGGAGCCACATAGAGAGAAAGGGCCATCATTTCCTCTGTATCTGATTACCTATGTTACTCCTTCTATTAGTCTTGCAAGAGGACTGAAAATAAAAATTTAATTATACTTAATTCTACCACTCATGACCACTTTGATGTCTCATTATTTACTCAGCTTATTAAGCTAAACATTTCTCATATTTTAAAAAAAAAATCACAATTTTGGGAGTGGAGTGAGGGTTCAGCAGTTCGGAAGTCATTGCAGTATCATGAAGATGTGTGTTGAAGTCCCTGCACCATGTCAGGTGAGTCACAGATGCCTGTACCTCAGGTCCCACACACACTTTTGGCTTCTGTAGTCACCCATGTGTGTGCATACACACACGGACACACAAATAATTTAAAATATTTACAGTTAGCCCAGATAGCATTTTTGTATCTGCATTTTTTCTACATAATATCATTTAAGTACCCTCTGATTAAATTCCTGTGGCGTTTTAGGATAATACAGAATGTATTCATTTAACTATTTTTCTGTGGTGACTATTTTTATTTTATTTAGGGATGTGTGTGAGAGAGAGAGAGAGAGAGAGAGAGAGAGAGAGAGAGAGAGAGAGAGAGAATGTGGTTGGTGTATTTATTCTTTGGAGGCCCACCATCCAGCCCCCACATAAATACATGAAGACGTATTCTTCCTTAGGAGTGTCCCGCTTTAGCTTGGCTTGTTTCTAGCCAGCTTTTTTTTTTTTTTTTTAACTTAAATTATCCTATTTCTCTTTACATTTTGCCTCTGGGCTTTTTACCTTTCTCTATTCTGCATGTCTTTCTTTCCTCTTACTCCGTGGCTGGCTGGCCTCCTGTTCTCCTTATATCTCTTCAAGCTTCTCTCAACCCTAGATTTTTCCTTCTGACTCTGCCTGGCAGCCCTGCTTATCTCTCTCCTGCCTAGCTATTGGCCATTAAGCTCTTGGCAAATCAGGCGTTTTAGACAGGCAAAGTAGCACAGCACACGGAGTTAAACAAATGCAACATAAAAGAAATGCAGCACATCTTTACAACATTAAACAGATACTCCACAGCATAAACAACTGCAACACATCTTCAGCTAATACTCCACAACAGAGGGGCATCTGCATTGGGAGTAGTGTGTGCAGGGGGTTGACTTCAATGGTCCACCTCCACCAACTACCCATTTTTTGAGCTAGGGTCTCTTACAGAACCTGACCTTGTCCCTTTGGCTAGGCTGGCTACCCAGCAAGACCCCCAAGGAGCCACTTACACTTTGCAATGACTATTTGAAAAGGGATTTTTAAAATAAGATAAATCATAATAATGTTAATTTCCTTTGTCACAGAGAGGGAAGGGACACAAAATGGGAAGTCTGTGACTCACAGTGGCATTCATGGAAGTGCCACTATTTACTAGAAGTCACAAAGAAAAAAACTCAAACTGTCAGCACATAGCAATCGGAAGCTTTTATGTTCTCCTCCGAAAAAATTAAAGACATAGATAGGAGAAAGTTGTTTCCAGCAATAAAAATAAAGGGCTATACTTACTATTCTTTATGTATAATGATTTTATAAATACCTAAAAAAATCTAAAATCCCAATAGAAATGAGCGAAGAACACAAACTAGACATTAATTCTCTATGGCTAGTAAATGTTGAAAACAGCTGTTTCTTTTGTTTGTGAGATTGGCAAATGTGGAGAGCCCGCAGAGGTGTGGGGATGGAGGGACCCTCACTGTGTTTGGAATTTTAGCTGCACAGCTTCCTGGAGAGCAATTTAGCAGACCTGAAGTGGCTTCCGGAAGCTCACCCTGACACCCCTCTTATTTCCTTTAGTCTGTCATGACAACAATCAATGCTCTCAGGAGTGTTCTCTGTAGGCATTATTTGCAAAATTACTTAAAAAACAAAGCAATAGGAAAAAAGAAACGAGGGTGCTAGAGAAAGTTTGGTGGGTAAAGTTCTTGCTAGGCAAATAGGAGGCCCCGAGTTCAGTACATAAAAGCTGGCTGGTGTGTGTTTGTAAGCCTACAGGGTAGGTGGCTTCGGTAAGTAGAGATCTGTTTCCTCCCATTGATTAAGGCTAGATGCCCATGACCCAAGAGCCAGCATGCTGTTTCCAGCGCTCTTCCTGCCTGGCTCTCCCTCTTTGCATATCTGGGAGTAGGAAGAACAACAAGCAAAGCATCATGGGGCTTCTTCCCTTCCAGAGACTGAGCTGGGGGTTGGGCTTCAGCAGGTCATTGAGACTGAACAGTGTTTGCAGAGTAGATTGTAGGGCACAAGGGCTTCTTCCCTTCCAGAGACTGAGCTGGGGGTTGGGCTTCAGCAGGTCATTGAGACTGAACAGTGTTTGCAGAGTAGATTGTAGGGCACAAGGGCCACCTGTCCAGATCCTCACCTCACAGATGAGGTAGACAAGGCACTTGGAGTCGGGCCACCAGCCTCAAAATCAGTCCCCCTTTCTCGAGGTCTTGGCTAAAAAAGGAATCCAGGACAAACTGCACCACAGCCCAAAAGAAGGCAGAGGCAGGTGTTCTGCATGGCTGAGGCTGTGTCCTGTTCCTTCAGACCACATCTCTAAACATTCCCAAATAACGCTGATCATCCCGCATAGGCTTGTTGAGCCATATGGTACGCAGGGGCCCACTCTCTTGACTGGAATATGTCAGTGCTAAATCATTTGGGAAGCTCCCTCCCAAACCCAGCTCTTTACATGGACTGCCAAAAGCATCCTTGGTATATCAACCACACTGCAACCCCAACACCCCAGAATTAACGCATCCAGAGCACAACTGATGAGCTTAGATTTGGCATTTTGAATCTATCCCGCCTTTTAAACATCCCTTTTAGTTAACTGTAGTCTTCTAAAATCTGTGTTTTGCGCTGAGTGAGTTCTTCACGTTGCATCCTGACATGGTCATGAACAGGAGGGTAGGCACGCGAGTGTGATGGTGATTGCCGATGATGAAATTTGGGCTCATAAAAATCAAGGATATTATTCAAAAGAGTGAGGTAAATTAGTCCCATTCATTCTGATGGGGCTAGACTCTGCGGCTGTGTATGCCATCTTTAATTAACATTCTGAAAAGACGTTCTGATTGGGATTATTAATGAATGCAGTGAAAATTCTTGCTGTTTGTAAGACTTCTGCCACAGACAGCTCAGACACCCCCACCACCACCACCAAACTGGTTTTTCTGTGTTGTTGTTTCCACAGACTCCTTCTATGGCTTGACAGATGGAGTATTCATCTTTGAAGCTGTTTCCCCAGAAGATAACAAACCCACACAGGGCTACGACGCTATTGTTGTGGAACAATGGACGGTCCTGGAAGTAAGTGTGGCTCTGCCTTATTGCTGCTTTTGTCTGGGGAGAGATTGTTTCCCCGCTTGTGGCAGCTGACTGAGGCGGGTGCTCAGCTGTGCCTTTCTTCTGAAAGGGGGTTCACCTGGGTAAACCCTGTGAGGACTCTTTTATACCCTGGTCCCAAGCTGGGGTGGCCTCCACATCTCTTTCTACAAGAAAAGCATGTATACTTGTATGGCTCGTGCTACTGTAAACACAGGTGATAGACAGAGGCATGTTCATGTAGTTTTCAGGGGTAGAACCTGGCCAGCGCCTGCAAGCCACCCTTGGAAGAAATGAACGGGAAGAGCTAGCGTCTGAGGTTTCACACCAAGCACTGCAGGGTATATTTGAGAAGTGACAGCCATGAGGCCACTACCTCCAAGTCCCATGGCTTTGGAAGAGCAGTCTTCCTTCTAAGAGTCCCTGGATTTTCTCCAGCCATGAAGCATGGATGTTTTAAGACAGCCTCAGCTCATGACTAGACCCGCATTTCTCAAGAGGAACCTTTATGTCAAAGTCACACGCAGAGTTTCTCCAGCGTAGATATTTGGGTCCCGCCCTGGAAGTTTACATTCAGCATAGACCACTAATAACAAAAGGCCACAGGTGGGATTTTGTTCCATTCAGGAGACAAGAAAGTTCAAGGTTAGGGTTCTCCTGCTCAAGACTCTCATCTGGCTTGTGAACAGCCACTCACCCAGAGTATGCTTATGGGCAAGAGCCAGTGAGCTCTCTGGTGTCTCTTACAGCATTAACCCTAATAGACCAGGGACCCACTCTGGTGACCTAATTTAACTGCTTCCTTAGAGGACATCTCTGCACTGAGGCTAAGTGTAGGTGGGATAGGAAACATTCAGGCTCTAGCAGTACTCTGGGGCTGGTCCCACGAGTTTGTGTTTATAATGCCCAGATAAATGAGTTGCTGCTGCCAGTGGTCAAAAGATGAAATCCCGGGGACCCTACTCTTTGAGCCTGTTACTGGCACAGTGTCTGGCTGGGGACAGGTTTGCAGGCGCAGTCCTCTGAAGAGGCTCCAGTGAACACCCACTCTGACCCAGAGTCAGCCCATCTCCAGGGCTTGTGGATGCATTTGAACCCATTCACATTACCCTAAATCCAAGTACATCTCTTCTCTGCCGATTGGCCAGAAAAAGCTTTTTCCCTTCTGCCCAGACAGAAAGGTAGTGAAGCAGATCCTCCTATTGGATAAGAGCTTTAGTGGAATAGTTAGTAATACCACAGACAAACATGCCATACGCGGACAACATGGCAGGTTTCATGTCATAAGGTCACAGCTGAGTATGCCACAGTATTTACTTGCAGTCAGGCTTTCTCTAATTCCTGGGCAGGTTGGGAAGGGGCGGGAAGGGAGGAAGGTATCTTACTGATGAGTTAGTTAGAGACTGGGGAGGAGGGACACATTTACTTAATGGGTACCCATTGTAATCATGGCAGAGGGATGCCATTGCTGGCCTTCAGATACCAAGAAATCTGAAGGTAGCTGGAGCCTGTAGATGAGAATTAGGGTGCCATCGCTCCTAAGAGTCCTGGCACCTGAAGTCCATTAGAGGTCTGCAGAGTCTCACATAGGCTGTCCTCTGGGGCTCGCTATCTCCACTGAAGCTCCAAGAAAGGCTGCTGTAGGTGGCTGTGGCCTGATCCCCCCTCACACCACCAAGCATAACTTAGCTTCTGGCTGACCCTGTTTTGATGATAGGCACTGTCCTCCCAGGCTAACCTCGAACCTCCTGGGCTCTGGATATTATCCATCTTGGGGGTCACAACCTATGCTGGAAGCCAGGTTTGGCCACCTATCCTCAATCAGCCAATCACAAGAGTCAGATTAACAGTATAATCCAGAAAAAAAAAAAAAAAAAAAAAAGAGAGAGAGAGAGATTTGTTCAATGTGGCCACATCAGAACAAGTACAAAAAGATGGAATGACTCCCCAAGTCCATCTTTGTGGTCCTGAAGAGAGACTGAAGTTTAAAGTCTGTGTTGGTTAAGTTTTTGTCAACTCGATGGAAGTTAGAGTTGTCTGAGGAGAGAACCTCAGCTAAACGCTCCCGTCAACTAGCCGTATGCAAGTCTGTGGCACACTTTCTCGATTGAAGCTCCTTGTGGAAGGGCCCAGCCAACTGCGGGTGGTGCAGTGACTGGGCTCCTTGGTCCTGGGATATGTAAGAAGCTAGCTAAGCAAGCCATGGGGAGCAAGCGGGTAAGTAGCACGCTTCTGTGGCTGCTGCTTCTGCCCCCACGTCCCCAAAGACTGTGGAGTCAAATAACCCTTCCCTCCAGACGGTGCTTTTGCTTGAGGCCATTATCACAGCAATAGAAAGCAAACTAAGACAGATTAATCAGGCCTCTAAGGGTGTGGCCCCATCCACCTGGCCTCTCACTGCCCGGCATTCAGACTTGTCCTGGAAGGTAGTAAGGTAAGCTAGAGCTGGGTGAATCTCTCGTGGGAGACAAGCTCCTCTCTGGCTGGGGCCTTCTCCTTCCTAGCACGCATTCCTGGGGGACTCCTGTTTCGGTGGTCTGATTGTTTCTGCCGGGCCTGCTCCATGCCTGTGTGATGCTATAGTGGGCATTTTCTTTCTCACTGGTGAGAGCTGCCTGCCCTTTATTCCCAGCCCTGCTTTCAGCCCTGTTCCAACTCTGTCACTGTGTTTTGTTTTGGCTCCTCATTTTACACACACACACACACACACACACACACACACACACACACACACACTTTCGCCAGGGAGCCTGCTAGCTCTTCTCAGCCCCAAGACAATGCAATGCTTTAAGAGCAGGAAGCTGACTGGCAACCTGGGCAGGCGTGGCCCTTCAGTTGCCAGCTCGGCCTGTCAATGTAGAGAGGAAGCCCCCTCCCTCCCCTTTCCACTTCTAGGTGTTGTTAGTGGATGTCTCAAAGCTGGGACAATTTTAAAGGAGAAACTCTAGTCTAGGTATGGTGACCTGGACCTGTGATCTCAGCTCTTGGGAATGAGACCCACGGATTTCCCAGAGCTCTGTGCAGGCTGGGTTACACAGTAAGGCACTATTTTAATCCCTGACCCCAACGAGAAGGTAAATTGGAAACTGTGACTGCGGGCCCTGGCACACAGAGCCCATCAGTCACCCACTGTCACTCATGACAAAATTCTCCATCTACTGCTTTAGCTTCAGTCTAAAAGGAATTCTGTACAGAGATTGCAGGGGTAATGGTGCCAGGTTATATGCTAAAATCAGGTTTCAAACAAAGAAAAAAAGAGTTGTGGGGGGCTAGAGACATGGCTCAGTGGTCAAGAACACTGGCTGCTCTTCCAGAGGACACGGGTTCAATTCCCAGCACCCACACGGCAGCTCACAGTTGTCTGTAACTCCAGTTCCAGGGGCTCTGAAACCCTCACACAGACATCCATGCAAGCAAAAACACCAATGCACATGAAATAAATAAATGTTTTAAAAAGAAAGAATATAGTTGTGTTACCCTTAGTTGTAAATCCACAGCCTAAAGTAAGAGCCCCTTGTGGAACATTTGTGTGTGGGATTTTCAATCTGGAATCAGAGCAGAAAGGGTAATGGGTTGGGATAGACCAAGTGCAGAGCAACAGAGAAGGAAAGAGAAGATAGGTAGACTAAGAGTCTCTGAGTCTGTGTGTCTGGATGTGACAGCTTAGGAGAATCTAGACGCCATTGTCAACACAAAACCACAACTCCCATCTTAAAGAGATAGATAGTTTATTCTGGAACCACTCTAAGGGACCATGGCCTGAGAACACAGATTTAAGTTGTACCAAGCTCCATAATTCCATTGTGGAAACAGTTTTGTGACGTTTTGTCATAAATCAAGACAGATCTAAAACACACTGGTGAGTACCTCAGAGAGGTGGTTCCAGTAAGACGGAGGAGCTCTTCTATAGGCCTAAGATGCTGTAGGATGGCATTCTTAGCTTTAGGGTTGGTGGAAACAAGGGGTCTGCCATGTTAATAGGTACTGAGAGGTTTTTAATCTATGAATCTCACAATGTTAGTTCTAATGCAGGTGGGTAAGGAAACTAGGCAAAGATAAGGTGATTAGCCTCTGGACCTATGACATTCCAGTCTCTATGGGACTACAGCTCTAATCTGCAGACACAGCTTCTTTCCAAGAGTTCCAATTGGCATCAGCAAGTTACTGTCGCCTTTCTCTTGAAGTATATTCTAGTTTATCTGTGCTTCCTAGATATGAACAGATGTTAGAAAAAGCATGCCTAAACTAGGCCTCATAGTGTAATCCCAGCTACTCAGGAGGCTGAGGCAAGAGCATTCCAGGTTCAAGGCTTGTCTGGTTTGCAGAGTTGAAGAAAAGGAGTGTCTGTGAATGTAGCTCAAGGGTGGAGCTCTTGGCTGGGCTTCGTGAAGCGCAGCTCCCACACCAGCACCGTGGAAAAGCACTTAGACTTGGTGACAGCTACCATGGCGGCTGGAGCGTTCATTGGAAAGGTCAGCTAAAGTGAAGGAGTGAAAAGCAAACGCACCTCTGCCTTCACATTGGGTCTCTTGGGTGGAACTCCACCACCTCACCATGTGTAAAGTGTGTGAGCAGTGAACACTGGCTTCTCCAGACTGTAGTGACGGGAAGGCAGCGTCCTGGACATCCGTGATTCCCTTCCAGACCTCATTTATATTCTAAGTTGTTTAGGCTTCAAGAAAAATAATTCTACTTCATTTCTGAGAAAGGAGTTTAGCCTTCAAAACATTCACCTTAGTTCTTTGAAAAATAACTCTATTTTGGCAGTTTATCGGTTCATTTGTTTAGAAGCTTAGAAGGTGAACCAGGACCCAAGTAAACACTGGGCTATTGAGCTTCATTCCCAGCCCTTGGTTTCAAGACCAGGTTTCTCTGTGTAGACCAGGCTGACCTTGAACTTGTGACGTTAGTGCTGGAGTTATAGGCCTGCACCACCATGCCCATTTTCTGTTGAGATGTTTCAAACCCGGGTTATGGTGGTCCAC